AGAAATAGCTTCCAAAAGTGAAACCCTTCCACTGTCTAGTCCCAGTAGGTGCCTTCTGTCTCAGACTCAGTGGGAGCCCAAGTAGCTTGATATTGGAACACACTCTGATTCTTGGATCTTTCTCCTGTTTCCTAACCCTTGTATACAACCACTTGGTCATATAAGAATAAGGCCACAATACTCTTTCATTTAGTCCTCAAGTCTCATGAACGACCTTTCTAATGATCTCATTTTCTCCTTCTCATTTCTCACATGGAGAACTCAGCACAGGTCTTTAGCTAATTGACAACAAAACAAGGATGAGCAATCCCTGAGAGCAGGGGCTGGCAGGCACACAGAGTGGTGTGAATACCAGTAGGAAGCTGGAGCCAGAGTCGGGGGTGGGAGTGGGGGAGAGAAAGAATGTGTGTGTGTGTGTGTGTGTGTGTGTGAATGTGTGTACATGCACACGTGCACACATTAGTGTGATGAGCTCTCTGATTCTTGAATTCAAGTGATCCTTTGGCTCCAGCATCCTGAATGCTGTGACCCAGGTGTGTGTCACTATGTCTGCCTAGAATCCTCCTCAATACGCATCGACACTGAGCGTGTCTGTGCTTTGTTTTTCTCATCTATAAAACAAGTGTCATAAAGGTGCTTCCCTCACTGGGTTGGTGTTGGTGTGTTGTTTAAGCAAAGTTAATCTAGAGGAGTGTGTGGCAACCAGCACGAGAGGTGGCTGCCATTGTTAGCTGAATTTGATTGATGAAAGCTGAGGATACTAAGCCTTGGAGAGATTAAATACTTTGTTTAGGATCACACAGATATAGAATAATAAATACAACTACTGTAGGAATCCAGGTACATTTTTTATCAAAAGCTCAACCTCAGTTATTATTAATATGGTACATCTAGGGGTACAGCAGACAAAGAGGGTATCTACTATAACAACATGTGCATGTTATTTTGTTTTAAAGGTTCAGATTACAAACTTCCCTCTTACAACCTTTTCCTTTTTCATCTTACTTTTCATCCATCTCTCCTAGTAAACTACCCAAGATCTGGGAAACCCACTGCAAAGCACAGGACCAAATACACAACCTTCAGTAATTGTTAAATTGGTGGATGACCAAACTATACAGAAACTTCTTTTTAAAGGCAGGGTTTCTTTGTGTAGCCTTGGCTGTCCTGAGACTACCTCTGTAGACCAGGATGGCCTTGAACTCACAGAGATCAGCCTGCCTCTGCCTCCCGAGTGCTGGGATTAAAAGTATGT